CCACACCATGCGAGAACGACGACGAAAGGGCTGGTAGTGCTTGGTAACACCTGCTTGCTTCACTCCCCCATACTAATCCGCCTTCAACCCCTACGACTATTGTACTTTCAGAAGCTTACGAGCTTATACTAAATGAAAAAAATCCAACAAGTCAACCATTTCTCAAAACCTTCCGAACACCCAAACAAAAATAAAAAAATGTAAAGAAGACTGAAAGAATGAATGTCTGAACATTGACAGCATTTCACATACTTGATCAGTAGATTGCGCTGTAGGACTTCCTGGTTCGGGGAGAGGAGATGTGAGCATATACGAGGGTGTGTGTTGAGGATCCGCTTCCTCCACAAAAAAAGCAACACCACTTTCACCCAGCTTCATTTTCAAATCGATTTCTTCACCGTTGATTTGAATATCGACGTACTAAATAACACTAAGACTAGGTAAAAAAAAGATAGAAAAATACCAAAGTAAAATCAGTAATTTCAAATGATGATGAGATAATTCCAAATGATAATAAAAAACTGGTTAACAAAAATCTCAATGGGAGCGTTTGCCTCCTCTAAAAGATTAATCCAAGAGAGCAAGCTTACTGCCAATGAAAAAACCCCTGCCAACTAAGACTAAGTTGTGTAATTCTGAAAGCTTTCTATTCGGCATGAGATTAAAAAAATTAAAACAAAGTAAATAATAAAAGGATATTCAGATATGAAGAAAATTGAAGAGAAGCTCATCACCTTGTCACTATGACTGAAGACGCCATACTTCCCAAACCTCACGTGAAAAGGAGTGGACTTGAATTCGCCATCAGGCTGCTCCACTACGATCACATCGATGGCACCTGAAAAATATCAAGTAAACTTGTTATGTAAATTAGAGGATGTAAAAGCGCAATCAAATTTCAACTCGTTACAATTCCTATGTCATTGTTCTATTCGTAATGATGATGACCGCACAATTCAAATATTTAATGTATCTAACCAACCTGAAAGTGTTGCCGGATTAATGGTATTGTAGAAATACTTTACATTCTTCAAGACCCTATATGCGTAGTCCATGGTGACAAGTAGATTATGATTTCATATATCTAGTACATTTAGGAGTGAATGGTAGTGAGGTAGATGAGTAGAACNAACGTCGAACTGTAATCGTTAACCAGCCGCAAAGTAACAATACCTGCAAGTAAATCAATTTGCTTTGTGTAACTCCGGTTAGAAGAGATTCGGGCGACAACATATAAAAAACGAAACGACACTAAAGAAATCGAGCTCACACACCAAACAGTTCTGCGTGAACACAAAAAGGAAAGACTTTATGAGATCTATTGAGGAATATGTACGGAATATCTATAAATAACTCAGACATGAGTATACTCCTGTAGAATTAGTAGCGAAGAACAACGTTCTTGAAAAAACTGCAGGTGAAAAAAGGAAAAGGCACGATTACATAGCGAAGCAAAAACACTGACAGAAGCCAAAAAATACGCACAAAAGATCAAAGAAGAAGTGAACATTGGTTTGTAACTTCATAAATCTAACATCCAATAATTTGAGGAACCGGCCATTCTGCAAGTCAGACAGTTGCAGATATCCCTGTTAAAATGTCAGTCGTCGAAGCAAAACAAGGACCAGGGTGATAAAAATAAAAATAAGGTCATCATGTACTAAAACTCCCAGCCGCGTCTACCCGGGAAGTGTTCGTGAAGAATATTCAGACTCGATATGAAAATCGAAATATTCAGTGCATTCGCTATGATATGGCAAACCAGCACGATTACATTTACAAAAAGAAGAATAGAAACCCAAAAAGGTATGTCGTTTCGATTGCTTCATATCACATATTCAGTCGATAGTTTCTTTCCTACTGCATAATAACTTCACAACAACCTGGCTAAAACTCCGGCTTTTGTCCAGTTTCGACACAACACACTGAAAGAAAAACCAAAGATCATTTTTTAGGTAGTCTCAGCGATGGGTCAATCCGATTCCAAAGGATGTATTAGAGCACACTAGAGTTAATCTCAGTGCTGTGTGCACTGTTTAACTCTACTCTCTAACCCTACCTGAGAACGTGCACAGACAGTGCACAAACAAACTTGCAAATGAACAATGATCAGTAAACTAACACCCGAAGAGACGTCACTAAAGTTCCGCTGAGTTCGAACATGCAACACAACGAGTTTGGCATTTCAAAAAATGAAATAGGTGAACAAAAGGTAAAGGAAACGAAAAGCACCTGAATAAGTAGCGTTTTGCAATGTGCCTTATGGTGAGGTCGCGCCACTCGATGTAATTCGCAAAGAAAGCGACCCAACGCGAACCACGGAGCACATTTTGGGCTACGGTTGTATTACATACACGGCTTTCGTCGTGAACACAGAAGAATTAGATTATCTGTATCAGAGAAAGCTGACGCTGGATAAGGAATCTATCTAATGCTCAGAATCTGGTTTGAGTCTAAGAATTGGGAGTTTTTTTTAATGTAAAGCCTCTATCCCATTTCACATGGCAGATCAACTCGAACAAGACTTTCTACGTAAGAGTCCCTGCCTGGAAAATTGCGTTGACCAATCTACAATTATTAAAATCACTGGCACTAATTCAAAGCCATCAGTGGTCGGAGTCTTAAGCACCTGCTAATCTTAACGTCCAGAAAGAACGGAACCAAGCTTGTAAGGGAACAACGTCGAAGAAGGTTGCTGTGCTGTAAAAGGAGCAACTTTGCTGCATGACCTTAACAAACGTTGCCCACCAAAACGTTAGGAGATCCACCTGCACTGAAATGCAGCCAGACATGTAAAATGCCAAGATGTGGCAAATACCCCGTTCGACTCCTTAATTAAAAAGGTGTTTTGTGCAGCTGTCAGAACAGCCGAAACCTCATTTCTCACGCCATCTGTAATAGAACCTGCGTTCACTTGAGCCAAGGCCTGAATTAGGATTTGAAATCTTCAATTTCAACTGCGGAAAAAATCTATCCATTTTAGGATTCGGAGCAGCTCTGGCTACCTAACTATCGGAATTTTCACATAACATTTCCATAACAAAACACCCTCGGTAATCGAGCCGATTATCAAGTCATATATACAATTGAAAAAACTGCTTAGAACCAAGCAATATCCAAAAGACGCTAGAACCTTTAGCATTAGATCCAAGATAAGCCAGACGAGGTCCACTCAATCCTCAGCCACCTGACATTTCGGACTAGCCCTTACACTGCAGCCATTGGGCGGCGTCCTCTCCCTTCTGATAATCACAAGGGAAAGACCATTGCATGTTGAACGTCTAGGCCCAGTAAACGTGTAATAATGAAGCAAAATCTATTACAACACTGCATACTTCAAGAAAGAAACTCATCCATGACTGTGTGAGAAGGACAAGGCTTGCATTTGCAACTTTTTTTGCTAATCAGGATGAACTCTTCGCTACACAAAATCACTCATTGGCACCCATCGACAGCAAAATGCAGAGGAAAGCAAGTATCAAAAATCAAAATATCATGAGCAAAGCATCCAATGCTTACAACCTGTTGTTAATACGCGCTGAGCATTCGGACCATGGCAATTCGAAAAGCTGCTTTTAAACTATTCGATGGCAAAAAGACGGCTTCTCATATGCTTTTGTGAAGACAATTGAATATGTATTTTTTTGAAGATTAGATTCCATGCAAACAAAAATTCAAAAACGGTTTGCAGCAGCGTTGAAAAAAGCGCTGAAAAATGTATTGTTGAAGTGAACAAAGACCATAAGCTTCGCCAATTCATATCGATGGATAAATTGACCGAAACTTGAGGTTGTCATCAGATTTTATGTGGAGAAGTTTGCCAAAGGAAAACAATCAGGAGAGTAGTGTAAGACATCATTGGCTCATTTTATTCAGTTGCCAAATGAAATTACGCAACACGCTTAAGCAATAACCATTAAATAAACAAAAGCGCAGCGGCAGCGTATGGCCGCTTCCGTTCGTGATATAAAAATACATTATGCTTTTAACATTGCAGCTGTCCATCGCGACCTATTTAACTACAATAAGGTGAGAGAAGAAGGAAATAACCGATCGAAGCATGATGGATAAAACCTTTGGGTAGATAACCGATCCTCATCTGAAGTATGCGCGCCCACGCATTCGATTTCCATTCGGTTCGTAGTGGCGTATTGAATGTGTATTCGGCCTATACAGTAACTTGCGGTGGCCAGCCGATGTTCAGGTCGGTGCTTCTATCCTCCCGGACGAGTCTAGTACCAATCAGCCACCCGGAGGGATGGAAGGCTTGGCTGGCCTAGGCGGATATCGATTTGGGATATCTCCTTCGACTTCATATCTTTGAAATCTCGACCAGTCTAACGTTTGGATCTTATTCGGATTTGGACCCATTGTGTTGCTAAAACTCAGAAACCTCGCTATCTGATTTAGCCTGTTCTTCACCCACGATCGGATGTTTTCTCGCGTTCTCCTTGAATTACGTCTCTTACGAGGCGCTCTCTACAACGTCGTCGCACAGAATGAGAAGAAATGGAAGGGAATACCAACGGCAGGGAGTTACATACCGTCACTTTGTGGACGTTATTGTGCTCGACGCTCTATACTAGCTCAACAGCGGAGTCCTGGTGCCATAGAGACGCAAGCACTTACGGCTTTTCTTTCCACAGAGAGCTTTCAATATGTAGCACGTCATAAGCCGATCGGTGGTGACGGCGTCGTGTTCGCCCGGCGGACGGCGCCGTTCATAGGCCATCTCGATGTCCCGGGTCTAAATTGCGGTATGCGCTCCACTGGCACAGTTCAGACTTGTCATTTTGCCACTGTCTTTTTTGGGTATGTGTACGAACGTGCGTCCGTGGATCCGCGCGGCAAATTGCGCGACGAAGTTCGTAACGATTTGAACGACTTTGGCGCCTATCATTGGGGCCCAAATTTGAAGTTGAGTAGATTAGAAGGATCAACTGACTCTACTAAACTACTCTACTTTGAGTTTGTGCCACAAAAATTGGCATCGGAGTCGTACAGATCATCACGAACTTCGCCGCGCAAGTTGCCGCGCGCATCCTCGGACGCACGTTCGTACCGTCCCCCGTCCTTTTTTATTCAAAGCACCAAACATGCGATTTTCTTCAGAATCGTATGATGGTTACATGCGCCCTTTGTCTACTATATAAAAGGCTTTTGCAAGTGAATATCATTTAAAGCGTGGGAGTAGTCTTTTTCTAACATTGCTTCCGATTTTGATAAGGTTTGCTTTGTTGGGCATAATATTTCTTATAGGGCAGTGATCAACTGCTTGGCTTGCCTGCACCTAAATCCACACTTTTCTTGAACCATGCATCCACGATGACGCTGGACGCACTCATAGTAGCTGCGCCATGACGCAGATGTGTGGGTCAGGACGCGCGTACTATGGGCGCGCCAACTTGCCGCTGACTCATAGTTGCTCGCCCATTCACTAAGTAACAAAGTCAGAAATAATAAAGAAGGTCCTCCTATCTCATACCAAGTTTTCAATCATCCGCAAAGGAATGGAGGCTTTGGCTGCTAGACAACCTCTTACTACCCAATACATAAAGAAAGACGTCATCAACTAACCCTCGACTTACACGTTCATGTAGTCTAGCAGATAGGTAGCGACAAATCGAAAACCTTTTTATCATAGGTGTTCACTACCATTAATCATACGCAAGGATCACATGGCCCAATCAGTCAACTGGCGAGTTTTTCAGCTCACGCCATCACAACTTCTGAATTGATAAGCGCTTGCCGAAGATAAACGATGATGGTGGTGGAAAACATTCAGCATGTCGGAAAGGTCAAAGCCAGTTTGGGTGTTAATGGTTTTGTCGACAGTGGCACTACCAAACACTGGGTAGTTTAATTACTAACGATAACAGATCACTACCGGCGCGATGACATGATTCAGCACTTGAGGGGACGTGACACAAACCGGTACGACCCACTGCATAGCCAGGAAAGAGAGGACCACAAAAAAGAAGTTTAAAGTAAAAATCATCTGACAGTTATGTCCAAACTGTCATTTCACCACGGAACGATACTGCTACCGTTTGTT